CGGTGGAACTAGTTTGCACTTAATAGCAACACCCTCAGAGGCTGGTTCCCAGAGGCGACCTGGGAGCCCCACCATGTGCAGAACAGAGACCAGGATTGTGTGGAAGACCAGAGGGGAGATGCGGGGCGCTTCCCAAGAGATGTTATGGGGAGCCACCCTTTGTGGGAAAGGACTGTTCTTTTTTTTTTTTTTTTGAGGAATCACACCATCTCTGCTCACTGCAACCTCTGCCTCCCGGGTTCAAGGAGTCTCCTGTCTCAATCTCTGGAGTAGCTGGGATTACAGGTGCACACCACCACATCCGGTAATTTTGTAATTTTAGTAGAGACGGGGTTTCACCATGTTGGCCAGGTTGGTATCGAACTCCTAACCTCAAGTGATCCGCCCATCTCAGCCTCCCAAAGTTCTGGGATTACAGGTGTGAGCCACTTCACCTGGCTGGGACCATTCTTCCATGTGCATCTCCTGCACTATCAGCGACAAGATGGTGTTAGAGGAAGGTGGCCCTGCTCTCTCAGAGCCATAAGGGTCTTAGGATGGGATCTGGCCTTGCTGACTGCACTTCAGAGTCAGAGAGACACATAAGTGGAGGCCCAACCCTAGTTCTGGTCCCTCTTCTGCAGCCTCAGTATATGGAAGCTGTATGATGGGGTTACAACCCACAATATGGGCCTTGGGAAGGACTCCTCCTTACTTCCTGGCTCTCAGGGAGGCCTAGTACCCCCCTGACATGGAGGAATCATGGGCTTTGGCTCTCAGGACACTTCCAACCTGCTCTGTAGGCCTTGCTGGACCTTATTCTCTGCAATGAGAATGTAGTTCTGGGCTGGACACCATGGCTGATGCCTGTAATCCTAGAACTTCTTTGAGAGGCCAAGACAGGAGGATGACTTAAAGCTAGGAGTTCAAGACCAACCTGGGCAGCGTAACAAAATTCAACAAAGCAAAAAAAACTGTAAAAAAATTTTTAAAAAGAAAATGTATGACTGGGAGTGGTGGCTAACACCTAATCCCAGCACTTTGGGAGGCCGAAATGGGTGGATCACGAGGTCAAGAGTTCAGGACCAGCCTGGCCAACATGGTGAAACCTCATCTCCACTAAAAACACAAAAATTATCTGGGTGTGGTGGTGGGTGCCTGTAATCCCAGCTACTCTGGAGGCTGAGGGAGGAGAATCACTTGAAAGTTGTAGCGGGGGAGGGCAGGTGGAGGTTGCAGTAAGCCAAGATCGTGACACTGCACTCCAGCCTGGGCGACAAAGCAAGACTCCATCTCAATAAAAAAGGAAAGAAAATGTAGTCCTGATTAGGTGATTTCCCAGAGTTCTCTCTTCTCATTCTGTTTATGAGGAGTCTGGGTAGGGGAGCCTAGTCCCATACCTGGATCTCAGCAGCTTCCCCTTGATAACTGGTCCTCCTGATACTAGACTGAGGCTCCTGGGGGACAATCTTAGCCTAAAAGCCCCCTCAGCTAGATGGGCCTGGACCCTGCAAGATAGGAAAGGTCCACGAGGTGGCTCTGGGCTGTAAACTATGGGTCCAAAGGCTGTAGAGGATAAGGAGGCTGGGGGAAAGAGGAACCCTCAGCCCAGCAGGATTTAGCCTGGCTTGGGGAGCTGTATCTCCTCACTCCCCTTTCAGTCCATTCTTCTGTGCCTGCATCCCCTTCCTAACCTGACCTTTGTAAGTGTTGTTCCTCCTCCCAAGAGCACTCTCTCTTTCCTCCTTTTGCCACCTAATTGACACCTCCTCCAGGAAGCCTTTATGATCCAGACTGTGCCAGGCCCCTCTCCTGGGTCCCACAGACCCAGCACTACACCCACCCCAGCACAGTTTACTCTGGATACTTTACTCTTCCTCCATCCCCATGGCAGGACTCCCCCTTCTTCCAGCCTGGAGCTCTATGAACACCTGATGACTGAAAGAGGAAATGGAACTGGGGGCGGCCCCACCCAGTGCAGGGATGATACTATGCCCAGAGGTGACATAAAAGGCACTCCTTTTCCAAACCAGAATTGGCCAGGAAATGAATAAACACCTAGAGAAAACCGTGGAATGGTTCCTGCATTCCACAGTCGACACATCTAAAGATAGGCAGGGCAAAACTGAAATGAAACATTCTCAGCCTGGCACCCAGATATGGGTTCTGGTGACCCAAATCCTACCTCCAGACTTTCGGAGGGATCTCTGGGGGTTGGAAGGAGACTTCACAAGCCCTCTTAGATCACCCCACCCACCCCTTTTTGGGAGTAGGGGTGCAGCAACCATCAGTTGGTTCTCTGCTGCCACTGTGTGGCCACGTTGATCACTGTCCCCAGGCTGAGTTCCCCTCTAAGGCATCCTTAGTCCTCAACAGCAGGGGTACACAGGAGCACGCCCTTCCCCTTTTTGCTATCTGCCATCTCTGTAAGAGGGAGCAGTCAAGGTGTGTGTGGGAGGTCAGTTAATGGGGCTCTGCAATGCCAAGTACAAGGGCACCCCCTAGGTAAAATCACCAGGCCTGGCCCATAGCTGGCTAGCACCTGCTCAACTGCCCTAGCACCTGATGTCCTTGAAGGAATTCTAGCCATTTCCCCCTCCTTGAGCTCTCAGTCCCCTCTGAACACTGTGCTGGAGAACTAGGTCTAGCCTCTTTCTCTAATCCCAAAATCACTTTAGCAGTAGTAAGGGAATCTAACTGCAATAAGACTTCATCACACTGGTGCTGGAGAACCCCAGGCCTTGTGGACTCTTCCAGCTTCACTGCAAACGAATAATACTAGGTTCTTTTTTTTTTTTTTTTTAAGAGACAGGGTCTCACTATGTTGCCCAGGCTAGAGTGCAGTGGCTATTCACAGGTGCAATCCCACTACTGATCAGCACGGGAGTTTTGACCTGCTCTGTTTCTGACCTGGACCAGTTCACTCCTCCTTAGGCAACCTGTTGGCATCCTGCTCCTGGGAGGTCACCATATTGATGCCAAACTTAATGAGGACACCCAATAGGCACAGTGCACTACAGCCTAGAACTCCTGGACTCAAGCGATCCTCCAGCCTTAGCCTCCCGAGTAGCTGGGTCTACAGACACGTGCCACTGCACCTGGTTAGTTTCTTTTTCTTTTTTTTTTTTGAGATGGAGTCTTGCTCTTTTGCCAAGGCTAGAGTGTAATGGCATGATCTTGGCTCACTACAACTTCTACCTCCTGGGTTCAAGCGATTCTCCTGCCTCAGCCTCCTGAGTAGCTGGGACTACAGGTGCACACCACCACACTCGGCTAATTTTCATGTTTTTCATAGAGACAGGGTTTCACCATGTTGACCAGGCTGGTCTCAAACTCCTGACTTCAAGTGATCTGCCTGCCTTGGCCTCCCAAAGTGCTAGGATTACAGTCATGAGCCACCACCCCTGGCCTATACTCAATTCTTACCAGGTCCTCCCCTTTGCACATGCTGGCTCCTCCACTAGGAACACCTTCCCTATTTGCCTGTCATCCTGACCCTGATCCCCAAGCAGGTACACCCCATGCTCCTAGGTGTCTATTGTCCTACGTACACACATTTATCCTGTTATCTCCCTAGAATATATGCTGAACTACAGAGAAGCTGAGAAACCTACAAGAGTCAGGATAACCAAAAGAGACACTTAGGGGGTCACTGTTGACCAGAGTGCCAGTAACAGTCAGAGACAGCTGGCCTGGCATCACCCAGGCCCCAGAGGCAGTGGTTTGGTATCCTTACCAGGAGCAGGGGAGGAATGAAAGCAGAAAACAGGGATAAAAGAGACCCAGGGCATGTGTGCAGGGTGAACAGCACCCACCAAGCCTATGGCTGCTCCCCAAAGGCTTTGGAATATGGGTTGGTAGCCTGCTGCCATGTCCATTCCAATGTGAGCCAGGGTGGGGCCAAGGGCTTGGGCTGTGCTTCCATTTTCTGGGATAATAAATACAAGTGTTCCAGTGTACCCTGGGCCCATGCCACCCACACAGGCGCATTCTTCAATATGGCTTGATTTTTTTAGTGGCAGAAAATATTGGCCCAACTCTCAAAAACTGCACAAGGGTGATTCTCTCTGACAGTCTGAAGACCACATTCAGAGGACAGTTTTCTCTGACAAGTTCTTACTAGGCCTTTTGGTCGCTGGGGCCAGAACTAGAAGATCCCCCGGCAGTAAAATGGAAGCTTTCTGCACTCTGCCCTGGGTCCTGTGGTAGAATAAATGGGGCTGGGCTTTCACTGCTGAGCCTCCTGGATGTCCATGGTGCTCCATGCAGGTCTGCCCATGCCATGCCAGGAACTAGGGTGACTAAGGAGGACCCAGTGCATGTAGTAGCATCAGCTCTTATTATGGCAGGCTCACTTCTGCCTTGGAGGGTCAATTGGGCCTTCTCTCAGACTCTCAGCTCACTATTGGGGACCATTTGGAGGAATACACTGGCTGAGATAGGAGAACTGAGGCACACAGCCCTTCATGGGCAGGCCTAAGTAGGGACAGTTTCCTCAGAGGCCTGCAGCTCAAGAGAGGCTGGATTCTGAATTTCAGCTGAACACTGGGTTGCCTCACCAAGAGCTCCCACCAGTACCAGGGCTCAGACTCCAACTCTGATCATCTCTATTATACTCAGCTCAGCCCCTGCTGAACTACAGCAACTCATTAAGCAGAGCCACAGCCAGGGCTCCCAAGGTGGTTGGGTAGTCTTTTGTGGCATGCAGCTGGCGGTCCTACCCAGAAATGAAAAGAGAGGCAGACAGCAGAGGCTTGGACTGAGTGTGGGGTGGAGGGGGGTGGGCAGGGTAGGGCAGTATGGTGCCTGAGAACCTTTTACATATGGTAGGACTTCAGCCGAACCAAAACAGCCCCAGCCCAAGATGCAACTGAGAATGTGTGTGACCTCATGCTGGTGCAAGGGAGGGAAGAGAGGGGCTCAAATGTGCTTGTGCCCCTGTGCAGGAGCTACGTAGGAGCCAGTGTCTGTATGTGAGTGAGGGTGGATGGGCGAAGGGACAAGTGACAGGGCTTGACAAGTGTCTTCCCCAAAGCACTTTAATGAACTCACCAACCCACAGTCCCTGCCCGCTGGCTAGGCAAGAGAGGCCATCCCCCATCTGGAGGCTCCCATGGCTTCCCACACCCAGTGGGCCCAGGAAGGCTGAGCCTATACACATTCCCATCAATAGGTGAGGGGTGTGAGAATGAAGAGGCGGTCTTCCTCTTTGCGGATCCAGCGCATCAGCTTATGGATGGCACTGACGGCTGACGCCTTGGTCCCCAGGGGGCTGTAGCACATGTAGAGCTCAAAGGCGCCCGTCACCTAGAGAAGGGCAAAGGGTGGTCATCTAGGTTAGATGCCCCTCATGGCCCATACCTAGGACCTCCATGAAGCCCAGCCCATCCCAGGGCCACCTTACCCAGGCCAGGAGGTTCTCGTTGGGGCCCATGTAGTAAATGGTCTTGAGTGGGCGAGATGCATTGTGGGCACGGCTGTGCAGGTACTGGTAGAGGCCCAGCAGCCGCTCCTGCTCCTCTTCACTGGTGTACGGGGCCTCAATCTCCGGGCTGCACATGGGGTCAGGTGAGTGGGTTTGCAAAGGAATGACTTCCATTGCTTTCCCTGGAGATTTAGAAACACCTATTCCTATCCAGGGAGACTGTATCATATGTTCTATCCCCTGGATGCTCCCTTAGGATGGGGCATTGTCTCCTCACCACAGCAGGCACCCCAGGACAGGGCTGGGCCCACTCAGACTGGAGCTGTGTCCCCTGCCACCCTCTAAGCTCATGGTGTCTTTGATGACCCCCTTTTGGAGAGGCCAGGTTGAGTTTAGATGTCCAAGACAGAGTGACAGATCTGGAGTAAAGGAAAGGTGAGCTGGGAATCCTCTGGGCCGAAAGGGACAAAGGGAGGCCACATCTTTCCAGCCCCTCTGCTGGGTGAGGGAGCAGAGGAGGACTCTGCTTTCTGGGCTGGACCAAAATGACCCCTAAAGTAGAGTTGCTCCAGGGCAAGGGATCCAGGAGACCTCTGTTCCAGCTTCCTTCCCTGGGTATATTGAGCATTTCCAAGCTTTCTGGGTAATAAAGTAGAGAGGGGTATGCCCATGGGGTGATGGAGCATCCGGGTCTCTGAGTAAAACAGACCCAGCACACTGATCTGCTTCCAAAGGTCAGGGCAGCTTCAGGGCTACATCTCAGAGCTCTGGACCAAACAGCCTCCCAACTCCACATGTCCCTGTTCCCCTAGAGCAATGCCTCAAGGCTCTCCCTCACCTGGTGAAGAGTCCTGAGCTCTTTGACTTATAGAGGAAATGGCGCAGGTCAGGGATGCCCACTTGGGCAACGCTGTAGTAGGGTGTTCGCAGTGCCTCTCGCAGGGCCAGGTGAGCCCCGCGCTTGCGAAGGCGTTCCTGGAAGCGGCGGCGGCAGTCAGAGACTGCAAAGAAGTCCTCACGGTCGGTGGAGATGAGCAGCAGGCAGAGGTCGGTGTCAGGCTCTAGGTAAGAGATGTGTGCATGGAAGAAGCCGGCTGCGTTGAATTTGGGCAGGCACACGGGTGTCCAGGCCTCGCCCTCGCGGAAGGACGAGGAGGAACTAATGAGGTTGAAAAGCAGGTGCAGGTCGATGGGGTGCAGAAATTGGTCCTTTCGGCGTACTAGTGCCACGAGCTGATTGCGGGCCAGCAGGATGGAGAAGACCAGGCTACGTGCACGCGCCTGCTGCAGGCTGGCACTCACAGTGTCACGCACGGCTGCCGCCAGGGGCAGGCACCGTGCCGCCCCCATCAGGAAGCTGGGGTCTCGTGCCATGAGCTGTAGCAGGTTGTCGGTGATACGCTCTGAACCCGAGAGTAGGCGCCGCAGGTCATAGTTCTGCTTCTGCTGGAAGATATGGCTCAGCTGCGCACCGGTAAGAAGGCTCAGGATCTGGTAGTAGATGTAGAGCAGCTCCTGTGCCAGCTCCTGTGCCGACTGCCGCGTGCGAGCCACCGCCACCAGCACCAGCGGGCTCCGGCGCACGAATACTACTTTGTAGCCATCTGAGGGCGGGATGGGGAAGAGGGATATCAGCCTCAGCTGCAGCTCCCTCCGAACACCGCCTTGCTGCGCAGCTCCTTCACTTTCCCCATCCTTTCCTCACTCAGAGCTCTGCACACAGTAGGAGCTTAAGGATGTTCAGGATAAAAACCCATTGCTCCTTCTCCCTGAGGGCTCAGGGCCTATCCCTGCCACTTGCTTCACAGACTAGCTCCCTCTGAAACACATTCTTATGCCAAGTACTGTCAAATGGCTAGGGCTGGCTGGCTGGAGCTCAGGACCTGGGATTATTATTATTTTTTTTTTTGGTCACCTCCCCAGGGAGATTCTCACTCAAAAAGCCCATGTCAGAGCCACCTTTGGTCTTCACCACAGCCCCATGAGGCCAGCAGTGTTGTTATCCTCTATTCAGGTGAGGATTTTGAGGCTCAGAGAGGTAGAGGGACTTACCCTCGGTCACACAGCACATCCCAGCCCTCTGGTCTGCGGAGGTCCAAAACCTGCTATGAATGAACCCTGGCCAGGGGAGCCCTCCCCATTCCCTCTCCAGGTGGCTCACCTGCATGGATGGAGCGGATGGCGTTCTTGTCTGCCTCCAGGAAGGACACCAGGGCCACCATAACACCCATAGTGCTGGAAAGTGCCTCCTCAGACCCATAGCGGGAGTACACAGGCTTCCCTGCCTCACTCAGCACAAAGACATGCTTCTGGTGCAGGCGCCATGCCTCCGTGGCATCCTCCTCATCCCCCTCGGCTGTGCCCTCCCTGGGGGGCTCTGTGGCTGGTCGCCCAACTGCCCCTGGGGATTCCAGCCAATCCTCAGAGCTTCCTGGCAGCATCTCTTCCTGCAGGTCTCGGGCCACACCCGTCAGCTGGGTGCTTAGCTCGCTAAAGTCCTGGCTGATCTGGCGTATGTCTGTAGGCAGCGGTGGGGGACCCCTGGCACCCTCCTTGGGGCTGTCCCCGGAAGCTGCCCCATCCTCTGACTCAGTCAGGTCCTCGTAGGAATGGGCATGGACGAACATGGCACCCTCCTGCCCAGCACCTGCAGGCCAAAAGCACTGGCGCTTAGAGGGGTAACTGCTGGCAGACACTCCTACCAGCAGGGTGCCTAATGTGGTCACTCCAGCATGACTGCCTGTCCTGTTAGGGTCAAGCCACTGTTCCCTTCTGCCACTGTCTGCCATGGATCATGCTTCTCTGCAACTTACAGCCCACCAGTCTCCTTCCTTCATACTGGAAATAAAACCCAAACCACTCATGGCAGCAGTGGTGGCTGGTATCTGCCTACCTCTCACTCCCATCTCCCAACCCACTCCCTTGCCCATCTTGGTCACATTGGCCTGAATCCATCTGCTCTCAGACACTTCAACATGCCCCCACCTGCCTCAGGAGCTCCGCACCTGCTGTCAGCTGTCTCCTACCTCCCCATGTGGCTGGCTAATTGTCACACTTCAGCTCTCAGGGAAGATGTTAGTTACTGACCTCCAACCCCAGGCACTCTATATCTCCCTCTTTGATTTCTCTTGTGGCACTTGCCAGTTATTGTCCTTCTCCCCAACTACAATGGTACCTGGCAAAGTGTAGAAACCCAGCACCTCACCTTGTGTCTGGAGCACCACCCATACTCAATGAATCTCTCTCTGGGAGAAAGTTTCCCAACCCCACTCAAGTCGTACCTCCTAACTGACCCCACTGTAATGACTCCATAGCCTGTGACTGCCTCAGGGCAAGGACCAGGTCAGTCTTTCTTTATTCATTTTTTCTTTTTTTTTGAGACAGAAAAAAAAGTCACCCAGGTTGGAGAGCAGTGGCACAATCTCAGCTCACTGCAACCTCCGCCTCCCACATTCAAGCAATTCTCCTGTCTTAGCCGCCCAAGTAGCTGGGACTACAGGTACACACCACCACGCCTGGCTAATTTTTGTATTTTTTTAGTAGAGATGGGGTTTCACCATGTTGTCCAGGCTGGTCACAAATTCCTGAGCTCAGGCAAACCATCCACCTCAGCCTCCCAAAGTGCTGGGATTGCAGGTGTGAGCTACTGTGCCTGGCCCTTTTATTGTTTTTTTGACAAAATAGTTTAACAGATATATTTTAAGTCTGTCTTACAAATTCAGCCCTGTACCAGGCATTGGGGATATAACTGCCCTGCACTCAAAGTGTTCATGATCTTGTGGAAGAGAGAGATGGGCAATATATGCATAAAGAGATAAAATTATAAAATAATTAGTGTCCTATACAGAGCCTGGTCAGAGCTGGCCTAACTTGTGAGGAGGGGAGAAGGAGCCAGGGAGGTGCACTGTAGACACAGGGAATGGAAGAGCCCACACTGGCAGCCAGAAAGCTCAGAGCAAGCAGCATAACATGAAATGGAGAGGAAGGCCAGATGCAGAATGAGCTGAGCCTTATCCCCAGAACCTGACAAATATCCAGTGAATGGCTGACAAATACATGAATAAGTGGAAAAGAAAAAGTGGTTGGGAATCTCAATTCCCCCGAAGCCTGCTCTGGCTGGCAAGTGGCTGAGGCTGTACCCCTGTCCATACCTGGCTCCATTCCCTGGGCCAGTCCTGGTGTGGGGCTCTCAGCTCTCTCCACACTCTGTCCATCAGAAGGAGTCAATGTGCCATCAGGGCATTCGCTGCTTCTCTTTCTCTGCGTGTCAGTAGCCATCCTTTGGGCTCTCCTGTGGGGCAAACAAAGGCAACATCGAGGGCTATTGGTAGGATTACAGTCATAATCAACAGTGGTAGTAAGTATAGGAAAGTGTCCCTTATCAGGACTCTACTAACTCAAATTCCTAGAAAATGGATTCTGAGAATTCGTTTCAAACATATATATGTTGTTCATTTTCTAATTATAAAAGAAAGACATATTCATTGGAAAAAATAGAAAAGTAGAAGGAAATGTCAAGATTTTCCTACTACTCAGGATCTTTCACTGTTCATACATTAGTGTATTTCCTTCTTCTTTTTTTTTTTTTTTTTTTTTTTGAGACAGGGTCTCGCTCTGCCACCCAGGCTGGAGTACAGTGGTACAGTCTTGGTTCACTGCAGCCTCCGCCTCCAGGGTTCAAGCGATTCTCATGCCTCAGCCTCCCAAGCAGCTGGGACTACAGATGTGCACAACCACACCTGGCTAATTTTTGTATTTTTTGGTATAGACAGGATTTCACCATATTGGTCATGGTGGCTGGTCTCAAACTCCTGACCTCAAGTGATCTGCCCCTCTCTGTGGATCACTGTTGTTGTTGAGACGGGGTCTCACTCTGTTGCCAAGGCTGGAGTGCAATGGCACCAACCCAACATAGCTCACTGCAACCTTGACTTGGACTCAAGAATTCCTCCCATCTTGGCCGGGTGTGGTGGCTCACACCTGTAATCCCAGCACTTTGGGAGACCGAGGCAGGCGAATCAGAAGGTCAGGAGTTCGAGACCAGCCTGGCCAATATGGTGAGACCCTGTCTCTACTAAAAATACAAAAAATTAGCTGGGCGTAGTAGCGGGCACCTGTAATCCCAGCTACTCAGGAGGCTGAGGTAGGAGAATCCCTTAAACCTAGGAGGTAGAGGTTGCAGTGAGCAGAGATTGCCACTGTACTCCAGCCCAGGCAACAAAGTGAAACTCTGTCTCAAAAAAAAGAGGCCAGGCACGGTGGCTCAAGCCTGTAATCCCAGCACTTTGGGAGGCCGAGGCGGGTGGATCACGAGGTCAAGAGATCGAGACCATCCTGGTCAACATGGTGAAACCCTGTCTCTACTAAAAATACAAAAAAATTAGCTGGGCATGGTGGTGCGTGCCTGTAATCCCAGCTACTCAGGAGGCTGAGGCAGGAGAATTGCTTGAACCCAGGAGGCGGAGGTTGCGGTGAGCCGAGATCGCGCCATTGCACTCCAGCCTGGGTAACAAGAGCAAAACTCCGTCTCAAAATAAATAAATAAATAAATAAATAAATTATCCCATCTCAGCCTCTCCAGTAGCACATGCCACTACTAGCTAATTTTCTTTTCTTCTTTGAGACAGGGTCTGGCTCTCTTGCCCAGGCTGAAGAGCAGTGTCATGATTTTGGCTCACTGCAACCTCAGCTTTCTGGGCTTAAGTCAATATAATATATAATATATATATTATAATATACCTTATATGTTATATAATATATATTATACACTATATAATATATATAAAATACCTTATATGTTATATATGTTATATGTTATATAAGGTATATTATACACTATATAATATATATTTTTAGATGGAGTCTTGCTCTGTTGCCAAGCTGGAGTGCAGGGGCTTAATCTCGGCTCACTACAACCTCTGCCTCCCAGGTTCAAGCGATTCTCCTGCCTCAGCCTCCCAAGTAGCTGGGACTACAGGTGGGCACCACCAGGCCCAGCTAATTTTTATACTTTTAGTAGAGATGGGGTCTTACCATGTTGGCCAGGATGGTCCCAATCACTTGACTTTGTGATCAGCTCGCCTCAATTTCTAAGTTATTTAAATTTATTAATACTCTCAATATCTCAGTGAGGTAGATATTATTATTATCACCCCTATCTGAATAAATAAGGGTATTGAGACTGATAGTGGTTAAGTAATTTTGCCCAAGGTCACATATCTAAGTGCTATCAGAGTGTGTCTCTAAAGTGCTGGGATTACAGGCATGAGCCACCACACCTGGCCAATTTCTGTATTTTTTATAGAGACAAGGTCTTTTCATGTTGCCCTAGCTGGTCTCAAATTCCTAGTCTCAAGCAATCTTCTCACCTCAGCCTCCCAAAATGTTGGAATTACAGGCGGGAGCCACCACACCCAGCCTGGTCTTTTAGAAAACATATAAAATGTAAACAATTAAATAAAACAGATAACAGCAGCTAACAGTTATTCAGTGCCAGCGTATCATGCTAAGAAGTTTCTGTGGATTAAGTTACCTAATCTTGATCACGCCTCTATGAGGCAGGTGCTCCTGTCAGGCTAGCTTTATGATGAAAGAATTGACACTGAGAGAGCTTAAGTAGATTGCCCAATGTTAATACAGGAAGAAAGCACTGGATTTGGATCTAGGAGTTGAAACAACCCTATATGCTGTATCCAGGAGCTCACTCCTGAAATCTTAGCACTTTGGGAGGCCAAAGAGGGAGAATTGCTTGAGCTCGGTAGTTCACCAGCTTGGGAACAAAGTGAGACCTTGTCTCTACAAAAAAATTTAAAAACTAGCCAGGCATGGTGGCATGCACCTGTAATCCTAGCTATTGGAGAGACTGACGTGACAGGATCACATAAACCCAGTAGGTCAAGGCTGCAGTAATCTGTGACAGCACCACTGCATTCCAGCCTAGGCAACAGAGTGAGACCTTGTCTCAAAAAACTAAAACTAAAAATAAATAAAAATAAAAATTTGCAGGCTGGGTGCAGTGGCTCACGCCTGTAATCCTAGCACTTTGGGAGGCTGAGGTGTGTGGATCACCTGAGGTCAGGAGTTCAAGACCAGCCTGGCCATCATGGTGAAACCCCATCTTAAAAAGAAAAAAAGAAAAAGAAAAGAAAAAAGAAAAATTTGCAACAAGATGATTTTGATGCCAAGAGCAAATAAAAAAAATTAAAATTAACTGAGTTGACCAATAGTTCTTTTTGGATATCTAGGTGTTTGAAGAGAAAGAAGTGAGATATAGCCAACAGGCTTGTCTTCAGGCTGCAGCCTTGCTTTTCTCTAAATATCCTTTTGTACCTTTTGAATCTGGCATAAGAAGTTGCCTTAACAATTAAAAACAACTACAGATATGACAACTCTCAGCACCCATGTGATGGCCAGGATAGATTCAGCCTGATCTCCTTGTCTTTCCACAGCCCCAGGCCCAGGTGGAGGTGGCCACAAGTGAATATCTGTGGTAACAGAGCTAGCTGGGTGGCTCACTAAGGCTGGTAGCAAGGCATATTTGGCCTGTAGGGTCCTTGAATGGCAGGCTGAAGGATCCTCACCTTTCAGGCAACACACAGTCCATTCAGGAGGGAATCCATTCCAGCTACCAATCCTTTAGGAAAGAGGGCTCTAGCTGGATGGACTAGAAGGGCAGAGACTCAGGGAGGCAAACACTGCAGGCAGTCCAGGGGCTCAGGAGGCACTGGTGTTAGTGTCAGCAAAGTAGACCTGAGCCTGCCTCCTAGAACACAGAGTCTGGTGGGAATAACTGAGCTCTTGTCCCCTCCTAGCTCTGTAACCTAGGGCAAATGACCCTTCCCTGAGCATGGCATAAAGATAAAGTAGGTGTTCAAAAAAGTTCACAAAAAGGGTGGTCCCAAACAGATAGCATCATCATCAGTAGCATTTGTGTGGTGCCAGTCATTATGTCCAAGAACATTCTCTCTGGACCTGGCACAGCTCCCATCAGGCAGCTCCTATGTATATGCCCAAAGAACTAATTTTCAACCTCTTCTTTTGTCACCTTTAAGTTATGGAATTCCTTCCCTTTTTTGAGATGAAGTCTCACTCTGTCACCAGGCTGGAGTGCAGTGGTACGATCTCAGCTCACTGCAACCTCTGCCTCCCGGGTTCAAGCGATTCTCCTGCTTCAACCTTCCAAATAGCTGGGACTACAGGCGTGCGCCACCATGTCCAGTCAATTTTTTGTACTTTTAGTAGAGACGGGGTTTCACCATGTTGGCCAGGATGGTCTCGATCTCTTGACTTTGTGATCTGCCTGCCTTGGCCTCCCAAAGTGCTGGGATTACAGGTGTGAGCCACTGTGCCCAGCCGGAATTCTTTCTTCAAATGAATCTTTTGCAGAAGCTCAATGTGCAAACAGACAGGGAAGCAGAGCCTGTATCCTGATAGCTGGCCTGGTAGCCACTCCTGCACTGAGCCTGTAGCAACACAGAGCACTTGAGAGGCTGGGAACCACTCCCAACAGCATCACCCCACACAGAATAAAACCAAAGGAAAGCTGGCCTCGGTGGCTCACACCTGTAATCCCAGCACTTTGGGAGGCTGAGGCAAGTGGATCACGAAGCCAGGAAATCGAGACCATCCTGGCCGACAGGGTGAAACCCCATCTCTACTAAAAATACAAAAATTAGCTGGGCGTGGTGGCAAGAGCCTATAGTCCTAGCTACTGGAAAGGCTGAGGCAGGAAAATCGCTTGAACCCAGGAGGCGGAGATTGCAGAGAGCTGAGATCATACCACTGCACTCCAGCCTGGCAACAGAGCAAGACTTCATCTTAAACAAAAAACAAAGGAAGATGGTTGGGGAGATAATTTGGGGATTTTCTGGGCCCCCAATCCCATTCATCAGGACAAGCAAGAGTAATGGTTCCCAGCAAGGGTCAGGGCCCAGAAGGCCGAGGTGCAGGCTGCCTTGTCAGACAGCGGGCCAGAGGAACTAAGAGGCTGCATGCCCTCAACAGGAACCTGCAGTAGCATCCATAGAGTTTCCCTCTGAGACTGAAACTAAGAGGAACAATCCAAAACGCCCAGTGTAGCAACATAGGGCCCAGGATGGTGGAATGCCAAGGAAACTAGGGCATATCTAAGTCTTTTTTGTTTTTGAGATGGAGTTTTGCTCTTCTTGCCCAGGCTGGAGTTCAATGGTGCAATCTCAGCTCACCACAACCTCCGCTCCCCCCTGGTTCAAGCCATTCTTCCTCAGCCTCCCGAGTAGCTGGGATTATAGGCATGAACCACCACGCCCTGCT